TCACTTATAGATTAGGGGAGTTGAGATGAAAGCTTGATTAATTAAAAGGAAAATAAGTTTACATCCTGGTTTGGGTCTAACAGTGAGGCAGAAGGAGAAAGATTGCATACAAGATAAGCACTTTTATTCTTAATTTTGTATTGATTTATCTATCATAATAGAGGGAGTGATACCCCGCCCCCTCCAATGAAAGCCACTTCAGCGTGCGAAGCACAGATTTTATGTGGGAAGCCAGCTACACCACAGATGCCCCTTGAGGACATTTTTCTTCACACAATAGAATTATTTAGCTTTCTATTTTCTACAGACACACAAATGAGAGAATTTGTGTGCCTGTAGAAAATAGAAAGCTACAGAAGTGTCAGGTTGTAGATGCAGTTAAGTATCTGCTAATTTAGCCACAGTATAGATCAATATTTGCATGTCATTACAAATATTAAATGTAAATATACGGAACGATATATTATGAAAGAAAAGCAGTCAATAAATAGCTCTGTTTAGCTCATCTGTTTGAAATTAGTAATGAATTAACTATTCTGAGTCATTTATGTGCAAACCTAATTTGCACATCTAGGCAACACTTAAACAATAAGCAAAATGTTAAGAGAAGAATCTAAAATAATTGCTCTGCCATGCGATTCTTTTCCATTGGTCAGTTGTTTAATTACTACCATCATATTCATATTTCATTCACAAGGTTGTTTTCAGTAGAAACACCAAATTTAAAGTATAGCTTGGATTCCCTATTTCAATACTTCTTAAAAGCACTAGTCTTTTGTTTTTCTGAAATGGAAAGTTGGCTAGGTTGTTTGGCTGTAATAAACCCCTCAGGGCTATCAAACAGAAAGTTGATACATGTCTTGGAAGATTGGGTTGTGTGTACGCAGTTTCCTGCAGCTAAAATTAACACTCCTGAAAAATCTTTGCTCCAAAGTCAATGATTTTTTCACCAGGTTAGATTATTTATATATATATATATAAAGTCACAACCCCTGGTATGCCCAAATATAGGAGGAAGGTCACACTTCCATTCTCTGTCCTTCGGCTCGTCACAAGAGACCATCCAGACAGAAACCCAATATTTTTTTACTGTTGCCTTTTTGTTACATTTGTTATATTTGTGCTGATAAATAAATAAGAGGCAATAGAGCACAGGTTCGATTCCCAGCAAGGGTATGGCTAGCTGATGAGAGCTAAATAGCTTGAAATAGATCTATACGTACTAGTCTCCCTTTATTTATTTATCAGCACAAATATAACAAATGTAACAAAAAGGCAACAGTAAAAAAAATATTGGGTTTCTGTCTGGATGGTCTCTTGTGACGAGCCGAAGGACAGAGAATGGAAGTGACCTTCCTCCCATATTTGGGCATACCAGGGGTTGTGACTTTATATATATATATATAAATAATCT